ACTTGTCGCGAGTCCAGTTTCTTGTATACAAACACCTCCACTTCCTGATGTAGATGACACTGCAGATGCTAGCGTGGGTTTCGTCACCAGAAACTAGTGCACGTGCTGACGACCGCATGTGCGGATATGGTGCAAGGAAAGACCTTGAATGTGTGATTAATTGCCTTTTGTGACTGAGACACTGCTATATTCGTTGATGTTTATTAGCGATCGAACTTTTGCGACTGCTTGTTAAGTTATGTAAATAGGATTCACGTATCACGAACAAAATAACGGCTGTGGTTCACCCTCGCCAACATTTTGCTCAATTGTGCCACCGCCTGTCGTTGACGACAACCAATACAGCGGCGGCGCGCGGCGTCGACGACGACTGTTTCAGCGTTTTTGTGACGACTCGATTTGCGCTGCATACTTCGCATAGTTTCGCATGTTTACTGACCGACAAGTGACGGACGGTTCGGTCTTTCACTAGCGCCGCTGACCGCTGTGCATCTGCCGGTCGTCGTCATCGAAAGGCCATATTGCCCCTCCCTTCATCACTTGCGTCCCGATGCCGGTACCAAGTCCGTCTGATTATAATGTAACACTAGTAGTAACGACAGTAAGATCTGCGTCCCGTCTTTCCATCTGTCCGGTCAAAGCTGTCCGTCCACTGGTTTGCCGGTCCGCTTCGATCTGCTTGTCCTTCCGTCTGCCTGTCTGTCTGTCCGTTTGTCCGTCCGTCGTCCGCCCATCCGGTCGTTCTTCGATCGTCGTTTCGCGTTTCAGAATCGCATTGGACTGGTTTGCATGTAGACGAGGTGGACGAGTACGCATTCGCGCGCGATCTAGGCCAATCGCGGAGGATGCGAACGAAATTCGTCCAGTCGCTGAATAACGAAGAGTCGAATTCGATTCGAACTGTAGTGCAATGCAATGCAATGCTGTGTAGTGCAGTGCAATGCTATGTAGTGCAGCGCAATGCAGTTGAAGCATATGGAACTGTCTGACCGAGACCCGAAACATTTTGCCCGTGTATCACAGGTACAAAGCATAGCTCGTAACGCAATACACAAATTTTTGCTTCGGTTCAGCCTCGGGACCGGACGTCAGCCTGCGGCAACAGGCAGATGTAAAAATCTGGATTTAGCGCTAGGCTTTTCGGTTAGCCGGATATGCGGGGCTTTTTACTCATGAGATTATCAACGATTTCAAGTCCAGTACTGCGACCGGACGCAACTCAGTGTTCGCGTTGCGTTTGCTATGCGCATGACTCGTCGACCGCGCCGCGCCATGCATGTCCATCAACCGGAAGGTCGGTCGGCGCGGAACGGCCGCCGGTGTCGGTGCCAGTTTCCTCGCATTTTTAAGCCAGTGTCACTTCTCACCAATATGACAACCGATCACGGAGACAGGACAACCGTAGAAAACGAGCTGGAGGTACGACCGTGACGAGACGACTGACGGTGCGCTCAAGCACCAATAAATGCAGAACACAAAAATGCAGAAACTAATCGTTGCTCGGCTCGGTCGACAGCGACGAGGGAAACAGCGACGAAGTAAATCGTTGTGTAACGAACGAGGAAGCAAGCAAGCAAGTGACAAGAATAAGTGCTAAGTAAATCTGCGATGACATATTTAACGCAGGCGGCGACCGGCTTATCCACACCTCGAATTCCGATGTACATTACGAATGCGAAATGCAGAAATGGGCCACAAACGAACGCCAAAAAACTGCCAGCATGCATCAGATTAAAGAAAAAACGAAAGTCGCCGCGCAGTGCCGCCGCCGTCGCCGTGAACGGCGCTAAGCGGCATCCGGCAGGCGAACAGCCGAAATCCGAAATAGCGACCGCCGCATACGAGGAACTTAGGCGCGAGGCGCACGGTGGAACGACGGTACGAAAGAGAAGTGACGAAAGGGAGCAGAAGGTGAAACGCAGGACGATAAGATGAGGACTGAGAAATGATCACCGACGAATGGTCAGCACTGAATATAACGTAACAGAACACTTACTTTGTCAAAGCCCATCTGAACCAGCATCTCGAGCATGAACGACTCATGTTGCTGATCGCCGCCATCGGTCGCAGCGGCGACTCCCGGCGGCACGTCATCCGTGACCAGGCAATCGGAGGTGGCGGCATTTCCGGCCCGCGCCGCCGCCTGCAGACTGTTCTCATACGGCAGCAAACTTTGCTTGATTTGAATCAGTGCCTCCTTGTACCCGAAGCGGCACTTGGTCGATGCGCTCCCACAGTTGTCCAACTTCACTTTCATGGACTGCTGCTGCGGCGGCGGCGCGGACGTGGCGGACGTGGGGGCGGGCGCCAGGGCAGACGGAGGCGATTCCTGAGACGCCGTAGATGACGATGACAACAACGTACCGCCAGCAACGACTTGAGCAGAGGTACCGTTGGCGGCGGCGGCGCCGGCGGCAGCAGCCGCGGCGGCGGAAGAGGCGACGGCGGCAGAGGGCGCCAGTGTCGCGTGCGGGCCGCGTAGGGGCACGACCAGGCCGCCAGAGGCGATAAAACGGGTGTCGCGTAACCCCGACGGCGCGGTACTCTTCGTGACGGCGGCAGCGGCGTTAGCCGCACCTCCTTCAACACCGGCAACAGCGTTCGCGTTGCTGCAGTGACGATTCATCGCCAATAACCACCACTGCGGTGGAAGTCATTTGCACGACGGATAATACCATATCCAACGGCGGTGTGCCGGATGACAGACGCAGAATAATCGGTCGATCGTAAAGCGCAATCGCCTATGCTTTGGCGACAGCCCTCAATATAGACAGTGATCAGTCAAGGGTCAGCGACAGAGGTCAAACTGAAGGAGGCACGGCAGGCAGAAATGACAGCCGCTGGCAATCAGTCAGACAATCAGTAGTGATCGGTGAGCAGGTGGCCGCTGACACAGGTGTAAATCCGACAAATGAGCTCGATCCGTGCGCGAAAGCTTGCACGACGCTTAGCTACCTGGCATGCAGGAAAACAGACTGCACTGCGGCGCGCTACGCGCAGGCGGCGCTGGCGATGATGACAGTGAACTGCACGTGCGCGCGATTGATCGCCAACGTATGCCTGGGAAAGGCTGGTTGTGACGAGTCGAAACACAATGCTGAACAGTGGACGGCAAGCAATGGACAGTGGTCAATCGACGGCACGACCCGTCCGCAAACGAAGAAACTGGAAAATCAGGCGCGCATCCATCGCAACGCAGGGCACGGACAAGCGCAGCGCGAACA